TTTAGCATGATTCTTCATATGCTTAAATAAATTGGTGGTGTTGCCACTGTATTTAACGGCCTTTTTGCAGATTGTACAGGTTGCCGTTGTTTCATTTTCGGCCTGAAAATATAACCACATGCTGCTCCTCTTTCTTGCTTCCATCCTTCTGCTTCGTCGTCCTCCTGCTCCTGCTTGTTTGTGCTGCTGGTCCGAGTCGCTGAGTCACGTGAGATATCAAAGCAAGAGGGAGGGGTGGGGTGTTGGTGTGTGTCTGCACCGCTCTACAAGACTGGCATACAGGCACAGGCACGCCACTTACACACAGGCACTTACTTAGAGATGCAGACAGACAAGATAGTTAGGTCGCCTCGTTGAAAAAACAGCAGCAGTGCATACGGGAGTAAAAATTCAACCAAAGTATCGATATTTTTGTCGGGGTATCGATCAATATCAATACTAGCGTTGGAATCGATAGTATCGATATTAGGATCGATCCGCCCACCCCTGCCAACTAGACTATTTTTCATAGAGCATTTCTTGTTAATTAATTTCACCAGGGTTTTTTTTTTTTTTGGCTAATTGGACTTGCTTTAGTGCTTGTATTTTGTACTTGTCAGTGTTATTAACAGAAATATGTGAAAAATAAGTGGTGGAAGAAGTAGCCCCCTCAGATTATTTACTTAAGTACTAATATAATAGTGCAGAAATGCTCAGTAAAAGTTCTGCATGTAAAGTAATATTTTATGGAAGCTCCGCAAAATGTACTTTTAAGCATAAAAAGTAGATGTATTAAGAGTAAAAAGATAATTCTAAAGGGTAGTAACGTACAAGTATAAACTAGCATGAAATTAAAGGCTACTCAAAGTACATGTAGTATATATACACAGTCCTTAATTCCATCAAACCACTGGAAAATAATCTAGCAGTTACATAACTGCACCAATCACTGTAGCAGGGGCATTGCTAGACAAAGCTCCACAGGGGCACAGGCCCCTCATTACTGAAATCACAACTATTTTTCTTGAAACAGCTACTTGTAAAGGTAAACATGTAGAGACAATCTGTATGAAAATAGCTATTTGAACATGCATTAAGAACATTTTTATGGTGTAAAGGTCTGGCTCTATATTGCATATTTATTTGCATTCTTCTGCTTTTCACAATAACTAATTTGACTGTGAAGCAGCTCCATTTGATTTGTATATCAACAAACCATGAATTAATATAGACTAAGTTAAAATCTTGGCAAGAGTGTGTGTGTCAGTTGTTTCTACTCTGTTTAAATGTTCGAGCCTAAGCATGTCATATATTATAGGGCAGCAACTAATTATGTGCATTATCAATTAATATGCCTGTTATTTTGTTAATTAATAGATAAACTGTGATCCAAAAATGCCTTTTGTTGTGAACAGTCTAAAACTGAACAAACTTTGTCATCGTTTGGTTTATCAGTCTAGGAAAACCAGCAAATATTAACATATTGTCACATGACTTTTACCTTACACTTTGATTCAGATTGTGTTTAGTTAATACTTGAGTGGAAATACCTGTAGTCAGAGCTGAATGGATGCACGAATGGTTTGTCAACTGATATTTCCCGCATCAAGACTGAACTTAAAGCCTATGTGAACAAAAAGTCCTCAGAGTGCTCAGAAGTGGACATATTAACATTTAAGATTTCATAGCAACAGAGTGGCTCTACCTGCTGGGGCAGATTGGGTTACAGGTTAAGGCTCCAGAACATTCAGGAGTTACACGTGGTTTCAGTGATACATGAAGCCTGCATAACATCATGGCATCTGACACCAGTAAATAAAGGTGCCAGGTAAACGTAATGGAGCAAAAAAGTATAACTTATGGCTCTAAAATGTAGCACCAAGTACCAGAAATAGGAAATAGTCAAGTAGTTTCAATTTCCCTTTTTTGTCCAGTAGGTGGCGGTATTGCACTATAACACTTCCTGGTGGGTTTACTTTTACACCAATATATGGCATAATTGAATTCCTATTTTATTCTCAGATAGTAGAATCTGTAGTGGCTTCACTAATCCCACATCAGATCTATGTGTGTGAACCAGTTGTGTGTTTATTAGTTTTGCATGGCTCGCTCTGACAGAAACAAAACCCTGCCTTTCTACTCACTGGGATGAAACAACAGCTTCCCTCTACATAAGCACATAAATCTCAGTATTTACTGAGGAAACACATCACTGTCTGGAAAAACACATGTACCAAGAGAATGGAAAACAAGCAACACCAGAGCCTCTTCATGAATGCACCTTGCTGCACTATTTACAGCACTATTTTATTTGATCTTGATATAATGGGCAGAGATCTTAAGCTGAAGATTTTTTCCCAGGTATCACATAGCAAAAAGACCAAACGCTGCTGGTTGATCATGTGTCCAAAAAGCTAATTAGTATGATTTTTCTGGATTAGAAAAAATAAACACAAGAGACTAACATAAAAACATTTCTGTGACCAGAAATATCTCAAGAACAACAACATATCAGCTATGTACAAAAACATCAATAATATATCTTCTATACCCACTAAAATATACCAAAGAAGCAGCTATTGGTCAATCTGAGGAGCTCATTCACCAATGTTTTTGAGAATAGTTAAATATCCTTCAGCTGTAAATGTGAAAATTCAAAAGGAAAAAAGAAAACAGGTAAATAAATTAAAAAATATAACCCAACAAAGTCCTGTGGTTATCCTGTGAGCCATTTTGGAATACTGCAGAGTATGTGGAGGTAAGCCGCTTCAACCAGCTTCTCCAGTGGATAAGTTTGTTCGAGGATGGTTTGTCTTCCCTCCAACAGAAGGTTCCCAAAGCCTTTCACCTTCAGTTCATCATCTACTTGTTTAGACGATTCAGACACAGTTCCACAACAACTGGTGTAGGCTATGAAATACAAAACACAAGGGCACTTTATTCAAAACCTTGGGATGAACACTTTTGTTGGGTTAGGGGCGAGGGACACAGTCTGAACTTATGGAGGAACAGTGGGTGTAGCAGCCTTCTTGTTTGTCAAGAGTTTGTTTCACAGTTGAATCCAATATCCACCCAGTCAAGCACAACCTTGGCATTATATTTACAGTATATAAACTACAATCATTAACAACAGAGACATGGGAGATTTGTCCTTAAATACAAAAAGGTGTCTCCTGGTGTGGACTTGCTGTAGTGTGTGTTTGTGGCATCTGAGGGGAAAAACAAGGTCCTGAGATATGCACTGAGGGGCTTTTGAAGAGAGTGTGATAAAAGTGTGGTCTGTATAAAATGACAACAAAAACAAAATATATTTAAATCTATAGCATCAATGTTTTTCTGTGGGATTTGTACAGTACTGTATGTTAGGAGGGGCTGGACCGAGGTAGCCCCAGTATTCGTCCGTTGGTCTTTCCCCCGTTCATGTGTGTGAACGGGATGTGGTGCTCCTCATAACTGCCCCTCAAACCCATGGAGGCCTCATCCCTGTCCAAACACTGCTCCCTCTGGGAGTAGGACGACGGGTCCAGAGGGATACTCTCCATGTTTTCCATGTCCAGGTCAAAGTCTTCACTCTCGGGTGGCTTGTTCTCCTCACTGTAGAAGAAGGAAACCTCCTGGAAGGAAGGATGCAGGTCCTCACGCAGCCTCTCGATGATCTCCTGGAAGGTGGGACGCATCTTGGGATTGTACTGCCAGCACATCTGCATTAGGTTGTGTCTGGACACAGGAAGAGTGAGATCACTTTTTAACTTCTTCGCCATAGTCATTTCTGTACATCATAATGTAGCCATTTCATGTCAACATTCTTGTAGGTCCAGTGTGGTTAATACATCATTTAATACAACTTAAAAGATATGGCTGGGGGTATAAAAAAAAAAAAAAATATAAAAACCTATCATGTATCGACAAATATCTTATTCCACTGTCTCAGAGTTCCACTGATTGCCCAAAAGCTATTAAAAACAAATGAATCAGTCATGTCATTACACTGGGTGCCATGTTTCCTTCATTTTGACAAACATGGGCACTGCAGTTTATATTGAGTCCATTGACTAAAAACGATGGACAGGCTATAAGCTCCCAGAAGTGAAGTCACAGTGACTTGATCGCCCCCTGGTGGCTGGTTGCAATATAGGTAATAAATCCAGCCTCCATGTTAATGGATGGGACATGAGCCAAACTAAAAAAGTACAGCTCAAATAAAATTTTCCCAGAGGTGTTTTTCTGTCATTTATAGTAGATATTATCATGCTAATTTGTGTAAAGGTGATAATTTTTCTGATACATGTTTTTAATACGCTTTCGATGATATAAAAAGAAGTGTATTTCGGTTGATTTGATAGCTGTGGCGGTCCGATGCTGTCACCTAACTTCTGGTAGCTACTGCACAGAATCTTGTTGCAAAAAAAAAGATGGTAGCTGCTGTATTCATGATATTTTGGTTTTATTTTAGCATAGTGGAGGGAACTGGTGACGCCATGTCCATCGTATGAAATAATTTACTATCAATATTACAATACAACTTGTGCTTTTTCAGTCTATATATACATATCCCTGTGCTTGTATTTACAGTCTATCAGCGCAGTTGTCCGGCCGCTCCAGGCTGCCTCCATCCATGACAAACTTGAGGACCTGCTCGTTGGACAGGCCCTGGTAAGGCTGCTCAGCCAGCGTGCTGATCTCCCACAGCACAACCCCAAATGACCTGGCAAACAGGCAGAGGAGAGAAACAACAGCAACACAGGGAGAATGAGGACAGGCCAATTAGACGCCTCACAGAGTGGATCTGTCTGTAAACACTTGACGCAGTGAAGAGGTAGAGGGAGGGCAGAGACAGCAACTGCAGTGCTGGTAAACAACGCCTGATGAAAAGCACATTAGCTGCACACACGTTCCGATCCAGTATTTTAAAATTTGTAATGTGTTTACTGTTTGTTATTCTGGTCTGGACTCAGGAAATGATTCACCTTTGGAACATTAGCTTACTGTGCTGATCAACTTACCACAAAAACACCATCAAATACAACAAAGTCAATAGAATTTTCTATCTGCCAAATAAAAAGAAACTGCAGCTTATTTCAGGGTGGCTCCGCATTCATTTACTCACTTTTGAGATAATATTTGAAACCCACTATCACACATAAACCAAAAGTCAGAGGTGTCACTGACCAGCAGTCTGAATGTGCAGTGAAGACTCCATCCTTTAGAGACTCGGGTGCCATCCACCTGACGGGAAGGAGGCCCTTCCCTCCTTTCCTGTAGTAGTCTGTCTCGTAGATGTCTCTCGTCATGCCAAAGTCTGGGAAGAAGTGTTTCAGTCAAACCTAAATTGATTCAATCTACTGTCACAATGATGTAAGTAGCAGTGTGTCTTGTTGTCTGTTATACTACCACCAGAGGGCTCGAAGTCCAAAAGCTTAAAAAAAAATATATACCTCCTATTTTGACGGTGAGATCGTGAGCTACCATGCAGTTCCTGGCTGCCAGGTCTCTGTGGACAAACTTCTTGGCGTTGAGGTAAGCAATGCCATCTGCGATCTCAGCAGCCATTTGGATCATCTCCTTTAAGTTGGGTGGTGGACGGCCAGGGTTGTTCTGAGGGACACAAGACAGATTTAAATTTATGATCTGTTAACACAATGAATCCCATGTTTTTCATGATTTTGGTGTTGATTTTTAGACCATGTTTTCTTCTTAGATCCCACAGCATAAAGAAAAAACAGGTATGTTAGAACTAAAAGTTGGTTATCATGCTTGACTCAAACAGCTTAGTAACAACAGTTCTCTCGGTTTGGTCAGCTGCTGTGCACGTCCCTACAAGCCTGTGCTGCCATGTTCTCAGTCAGTGACTGCTAAAATCTTCTGTCAACATCTCTCAGCTCAGTCCTCCACTGATTCCAATCCAAGTACCCTCTGTATATTTACAGACTCCAAAAGGTGACATTTAAATAGTTACATCACCTTGAACTGTACTTGTTTCAAAAGTAAATTGTGGTATTAAATTCTGAAAAGGTACAGTACATCAACTTCGGTCACTGTGATAATACCACTCATTACTCAGCCACTCATCTGATGAAAACCCACTGTAAGGATCTGATTTAGTCCAAAATCCAAAAGAGCCTGGATGAGGAGTCATCAGAAAAGTTACTCTAGCACTCCACTGCAAATTCACCAAAACTGCTAGTTCAGTCTAATCTAAAACTAATATGAGCACAACTCAAATACTGCTGATTCACTGTGTGATTCAGAGGTGGGCAGTGTAATCTCATTACCTCAGCATCAGGCCGCAGAGAGCGCAGGAAGCTCTTCAGGTCTCCATGGGTCATCAGCTCCATCACCACCAGTGAGGGCTGGCCTTTAGACACAACACCCAACAGACGCACCTGGGAAACAAGGACGAGGGGTTTTATCTGGTTTGATACTGATGCAAGCATGAGAGCAGGTCTGGTAACAGCACAGTGAAGGGGGGTCTGGTTTTTGCACATGATGGGAGATTTAGTACCTTCTATTCTAGATGTGTCCAATCGTCATAATGGTGGGATCCAGTGATTCACACTCTATCATGGACTTTTACACATCGTACCGTTTTGTGTTTATGTACAACATGAATATATCTTACCACATGGTGGCAGTTGAAGGCCTTCATGACCGAGGCCTCATTCAGGAACTCAATTCTCTCCCTCAGGCTGGCTGATTCATTCACCGTCTTCACTGCTACATGCGTTTCCGCCTCACCCTTGACGATGTCCTTGGCGATGCCCTCGTAGACCATACCAAAGGAGCCCTGACCCAGTTCTCTCAAAATGATGATCTTCTCTCTGGGCACCTCCCACTCGTCCTCCTCGTACACTGCAAAAACAGCGGGAGAAACCGGGTTTAGCTAAAAAAAAATATTGTATGATTTGATTAAGTAGCTGGTCACTGGCACCTTTCAATGGTGTAATGAATGCTAAATTATATAAAAACCCTCTTTAATGGCATATATGATGCTGCAGCCTGAAGAGATTTTAGGTATGTGTTTTGGCTTTGAAGCATTACAACTGACTGAAGGAGTGAGAACTGAGCAAGGTTTTTCCTTACTGCGCCAAATGTTTATTTGTTGAAATTCAATCAGAATTCATTACATATATGCATTTCTCTAAATCACTCGACCTGTTAAAAGGAATCTGCACTTCTCATTTGTGAAAGACAAGTTTCAGAAATCAAGTTACCGCTAAAATCCTGGGATGAACTGATTCATTAAGTACAGGTAAAGGTTTTAAAAGCAGACAGTTAATGATGATGACAAGAAACTTACTACTAGCAATATTTTTCATAACAGTTTTCCAGAACAGGGTTAAATTAACTAGATAATTCTTAACCATAACCTACGATGCTGATAAACATTCAAATATTTTCATTTTCTGGACACAGATGTCTCCCGCTTCACTAGGAACACCATTTTCAGTGTTTGTGCAATGGAGGTTTGAACTTTCTACATCATGCTGCTGCGAATTGTAAACTAGGCCACAATAGAGTAGGTGCACATATTAAACTCAGATTTAATGTGCACATAACTTTCCCTTTTCAGCAAAGGAAGGCCAAAACTGTCTTCTAGTGTCCAGGTCTGCATGTTAACCATTGTGCACAGTAAAGGTCAAATATTCAAGAGAAATAATAATAAACCAAGCACATTTTTAAGTGGACGGGGGGCTCTGAACTAAGCTTGATCAATACTTGACAAAAGGGCTTAGTGAGACTTATGGCGCCACAGTGAAGGTTCTGATTCATACAGTAGTTTGTCAGATTTTACAAGGGAAAAAACTCAGCTTTTGTATTACAGAGCAAATTACTTAAAAGCTTTACTCACCATCATTAGCGCTGAGATACTCTGGGTTTGACGAGGCGTAGATGGGACCACTCGGCCCCTGAGTTTGACTAAAGGGAAAAGGAGAAAAGCACCTAGTAATAAAACAGACAAAATATTAAATAATTGAAGGGGAAGTGATAACTGCGTACTTCTTCCTGAACACGATGGCTCCGACCAAAGCCACCACCAGCAGCAGGACAAGGCAGATGACCGGGCCGATGACAATCTTTACAACGTAGAAAGGATCGGCTGTTTAGCACATCCGCCCAGACAGAGTCACATCATAGGAGAAGAACAAAACCAGGCTCTCATGAAACCCACATGTTAAAGTGCAGCTTTATGATCATAATCTGCTTTAAGTACAGTGAGTAGCATTTGATAATAGTTAAAAGAGTCATAAAAGGTGCCTGTGTTTTTCACATTAATATTCTGCTTTTAAATATGTTTCCATTCATTTACTTGGCTGGACTTATGAACAGTTATCTAGATTATGCACAAGGAGTTGAGGAGTTAGTAACTTATAACAATATGTTAAGTATAGATACATGGCCAGACATGAAAATAAAGCCATCTATTCAATTACAGATTCACAAGTACATAATGTTTAGAGTCATGATTCATTCATAAATGTTAAGTTACTAGATAAACTAAGTCATGGCTTGGTTTACCTTCATGGCAAATCAAGACTTACTAGGATCTTGGACATAGAAGTATGTGGGCTCGGTCCAGGATCCGTTCCCAGCCAGCGACGTGGCCCGGATCCTCACTGTGTAGTTCCCAGGATGCATCACTTTCAGCTTGCAGCCACGGGCCATTCTGTAAGTGTATCTTGACACACAATAGTGCAACTCCTGCAGAGAAATAAAGAAGAAACAGCATCATATCATGTTTAAAACAATTCACCTCCTTTTATAAGATACTCTTTCTGCTCCTATGATAAAACAGTTTGATGTTGTGTACACTCAGTTGCTGCACACCAAGCAAAACTAAAGCAGTCTAATACAGCAGTCTTGCCATGAATCCTCTTTTATGAAGGTGATAATGTTCAGCTTTGTTCAAACTGTTTTAGAGGTGTTTATTCAACCGCATTGGACATGTCAAGGGGTGTTTCTGTTATTTAGTCTAGCCTCATTGATATACCGTGAATAGGGTGGACAAAATGCAGGGAGGATTTCTGCGGGACTGTTATATTAGACTGCATTAGTGTTAATCTGGTGTGCCTAATAAACTTCTCTCTACCTCAATGTTTCCACTGTGGAAACATCTGTGTTTTTATCATCTGCAGCACCGAATTGACATTTTGTAGACCTGCCTCCATGGCAACTAAAACCTAGTGCAACATCAATATTGCTACTCCATTATGGTTCTCAATTAAATTACACTACTGAGACCACAAGGACAAATTTGAGAATACAAGTCAAGTAATACAGCTAGTTTTACCTCTCCTATTTCTCTGTGCTGCATGGCTCATTTCTAGGTGGATTCGCTTAATTTCAGTTAAACTTCCCCTCCAGTACCAGCCCAAGCTGTTGTTTAGTGAGAAAATGAATATGAAAAGTGCTTTTTGAGAATATGTGTTTATGTGCTGTGGTGAACCTGCAGTGAATTTATATACTCAAAGGCTCAAACCATTATATACGTACACTACAGCAAGATCTGACAGAGGTGTGTGCAGATGTTTGTGTGTGTGTGGTGTGTTTCTTCACCTCAGTGTCCCCCAGTCTCTTGTAGTTGACCTCATACAGGATGATCATACCATTAGGAGCCTTGGGTTCCTGCCATGTGATGTGGACTGTATTTTCTGTCACCTCGTAAGTAATGGGACCTGTGATGTCATCAGCTTTGTCTGTGGAGAGCCAAGTCACACGGTTTCAGGAATCATGTTTCTATTAAAACTCAGGCTTGTTTAGAGTAAATAGAAGTTGAAATGCAGTCGTGTCTGGCCAGCCTCATGATTGGAGTACTATGGTAGTCTCCCTGGTTTAATTCCAACCGCGGACCTTTGTTGCATGTCAACAAAGGCGGCAAAGCTGCAGGCCGCAAAGCTAAAACAGTGACCGGAAAGATACAAAAATGCTCCGTAGAGCTGAGGGAAACTGCAGGTTTGTTGCTGCAGTTGATACCATTCAAATGGTAGTATAAAAATATTAATTAGTGCAGTGTTAAAAGATTTGAGTAAATGTGTAATGAACATTTTAAAACCAAAAATGTTGACAAAATAAACAGATAAGACACCACTAATTTGGTGGGAGATACATATCAGTCATTTATATGGACATGAGTATCTGGGTTACGAACAGGTTTTTTTTTTTTTTTTAAGTATCCCGATTTTGTGTTTGTGCATGTAAATATCATATCCTGATTTCAGAAACCTCTTAATGTGGTTTTGAAAAACGTGAGTATGCTGGATGGAAAGAAGGCAGATCTAGAGACTTGGTTTATGTGTGATTTAAAGGACATATTCTGATCAAAGACGACTCCAAGGTTCCTCACAGTAGTACTGGAGGCAAGAGCTATGTCATCTAAAGTAACTATATGATTAGACAGCAGATTTCTAAGGTTTTCAGGCCCAAGCACAATAACTTCAGTTTTGTCAGAGTTTAGAAGAATAGAAGGATAGTTATCAGTACCTTCAGGCAGAGTACGAGCACTGACATAGGCAGCCATGCTGCAGCGGGCCTGGTCAGTTGGGTGGTTGCAGGCATGGATCTCAATCTGGTAGCTGGTGAAGTGGCGCAGGTTGGAGATGACAGTGGACTCTTTGGCATGGACAGTGACCACAATTTTGGCACTTTCAAAACTTTCTTCGGACTCATCATCAGGGCTGTGTGAGCCCTCGGGTGGGCTCGGGGTGGTGGTTATGTGGAAAGGCTGTGTCCGGTTGGCGATGCCCATCACGGAACGTCGCTGCCTCGAGCGTCTAAACAACGCAAGTTTAAAGTGCTTAAGACAATGCATACAATCTGAAAAACAGCACATTTGGAAGATAGAAGCAAAAGTTAAAAGAAATTAAAACAATGAATACAGAGGAGGGTCTTCAGGGAGCTGTAGACAGAACCATCATGACAACGTTTAACTTGCTTACTCCAAACAGACAGGGCTGGGATGTGTGTTTCTGTCTTTGCATGTAACTGACAGGTGCGTGGGTCTGAGTTTTAACCTATTCCCTTGTATTCAATTCAGGCTTACATAAACATTATATAGTGTAATGTAGTAACCATTTTTGGTGTTCTGAAAGCAATATTCAACTAGGCTAAGAGAGACGACATGATAGAGAAGAAAAGAAAATTTAAAAGCCTTTCTGATTTAGTCCAACGGCACTCAAACCTTAAAAAACAGGTCTCTTCGAGACCTTGAATCATAAAGCACGAATCCTACAGTTTTCTTAATTCTGAAACAGACACCTCTGTTGTCTTACTTGATCTCAAAGACTTCATTGTGGAGGTAATTCTCAAAGGTCTTGCGGTATTCTGAGTCCTCTTTCTCCTTCTTGAGCTCCTTGTCGGTTTTGGGGCAGGCACAGCATCGTGTCCCCTGGCCTTGTTCCTCTGTCTGGTTCCACTTCTGCTCCTCGTCACTGTCCACCTGAGTGGGCGCCCGTGACGGCAACTTCATCCCTGATGAAACAGAGTCAGGTGTGACAAGTTAATGACCAGTGACATGACCTCCCACCCCTCTGTATATGTGGAAATTAGAGGAGTTCAAATGAAGACAGTTTGGGCTTGGCTGTGAGCTGGCAGGATGACGGCAGGACATTGACGGGAATAATTCAACTAAGATAAATGTCAGAACTTTTCTTGCACCTGCTTTAGAGTGAGAGGAAGATCCCGAGTTTCTCAGTACCAGGCTTCTACAGCTAATGACGTGAGATGTGTCAGATTTAATTTATGTTTAGTACATGAACTAAGCTAACAGTGCATCAAGGCAATGAGGCCGAGTTTGTTTTGGGTGTTTGGTTAATATGATTCTTTTTCGTTTTATTTTGTAGGTTTGATGTGGTGGTCATTAGGACTGACTGCTTTTGTCTTGTTGATTTGTACAGATTATAATGTCAATTGAGCTATATTTAGAAAATCAAAATTAAATCTTGATATGAATTACCCATTAATAAGAATCAGGTCACAAAGTCATCACAGAGTGACCTGGTACAAGACTGGGGTAACTTAAAGTATTCGACAGCCTTTGAGTGAGAGGAGCTCTTCTACCGATGGAAAGCTGGCAAAACACATTCTGTCTCTCTCAGACACAGACACACAAAACCACTGCTACAAAAACAAACACAAGAACAGGATAGCCATAAACAATGTGGCTCACCCTTCTGACAGTAGTCAAACTTGTAGAGCTCGCTGGCTTCAGGCTGACGCTGGCAGAAGACAAGGTAGTGAGTGATGTTGCCGTTGGGATCATTGGGAGGTTTCCACTTGAGGATGATCTGGGAGGAGGAGTTGGATGAGGAAATGGGGTCCAGCGGGACAGAGGGTTCTGAAGAGACATCACAAAAGTACAGAGGAAGTTGGTTAATATACAATATATAAAACGTGTCAATATACACCATGGACCTGAAAATTGATGGAAACAAATATCCTAATAATCTGCTTCCCAAAGCGTCACTGTATTTGTCCCTAGAGCATAACTGATTTTAATTAGTGAAACAAACCCACAGGATAAAATAGGAATCACATAATTATAAAACACAAGAAAAAAGTAGTGGTAGTTTTAGTTCAATTATGTTGTGTGTTCAGCTGTGGTTTAGATTTCTAGTTTTACTTCTGCATTCCAGTAGATAGTAGTGGTAATTTGTATATTACCAAATTTTTCTGACAACAGATTTCAATTTATTTAGGTAAATTTTTTTTTTCTACCATGGTTTCATTTTGTTTTAAATTCTCAGACTATCATTACTTCAAACATTTGTGTCGTCTTTTCTTTACTGTATGCCCTATAGTAACTCACTGACAATGTTCATGCATCTGGTTTGTGTTCAGGAACCCAGTGAGTCTGTGGTGACACATTTTGCATTTCCATCCTATGTGATAACTGGTGCCTTAGCAAAGTTTCTGTGTAAAACTAAATATGAGTGAAAGGTTACTTGCATAGTATTTTCAGGGTCAAAGCAAATTGCAGCTACACAATCATAGTTGACAGGTTTTTTTTAAATCAAATACTGTACATCTAAATGTGTTTTTCTGATTTCTGATTTGCATTAACTGTGGCAAGCCGATAAAGGGGAAAAACAGGTTACCAGCTACATGTGGCATGAGATTACCTGGCATCGCCTTACATCTGACTGTTGATCTGTCATCTTTTGAGTCAGATTTTTGAGCGGGAGGCAAAAATAAGAGACACTTGGCATCTTACTAGTGTCATGGCCTGCACTGGAGTACAGCTGAGAAGACAGTGCTAAAAATATCATCAAAGAAAGGTTTAGGTGGCGACATTTGTATATTATAGGATATTCGGAGTGGGAGAATAGATATGAGGAAGCAGCAGTTGACTGTAGGATTGAAGCCTGAAGGAAGTCTGAAGGAGTCAGAGAGTCCTGAGCTGTCACAGCGTGACTATGCTGTCCCTGTTTCATGAGGGTGCCACACACTGGTTCAACCACATTGTCAGACTAAGTTTCACCAGCAGCAGCTTATCTGTAATGACAGCTTTGTCCTTGTGAAGAGGTGTGCAGGTCAGACGTGACACAGACTGGAAAACCGAAGTAGCTGCCAAGTGAGTAGAAAACAACCCTTCATTGCCACAAGTGGCTGACTGAATGATGCCTATTTGCTGGAAAGCTTAGGGGCCATTCACTTTTCAAGTCTTTTGCATGCCCAAATTCATTCTTTTAAACTAGAGAGAGAGAACCAGAGGACAACACAAATCCGAAACAAGCCTTACTGGTGGCATTAGTGCGAACGTAGATGATCTCGCTCTTGGCTCCGTGGACCTGATGCTCATCAGAGGCTGAGAGCTGGGTTTTCACCATTATGGCATACTGTGTCCAGGGCTTCAGCGGCAAGATGAGATGACCTGGCTCAAACTGCTCTTTGTCCCCTTCTGTGGCTCGACGTGGAGGGTCAACGTCAGCGATCACCCAGCTGTTAGAGCCACAGGCGTCCTGCCCATCAAACTCGGTTACGTTCTGAAAAGGTCTATTGGTTGGATAAACAATAACAATATATGAATGCAAAGTGTAGAATATTTAGGCCTTAATTGTTTCAGCACTGCATTTATCTGAACATCCAGTAAAGGAAAGACCTGCATGAACATCACAAAAGCCAGAGAGACCAACAAAGTGATGCCAGTTCAAAATGAGGACATTCCTGGATATTTTCTGAAGATGTAATGGGTGTCACTTTCTCACAAAATGTACATTTACACAAATAAAAACTAACAAATAATTAGTTTAAATAAATTCAATGTCTGACAGAGATCCAGGTCTGACTGTGACTGACTGATGACTGAGAATTAACTTACGCTTCTTTGTAAAGCACCATAAAGCCCAGCAGGTCTCTGAAGTCTGGAGGCCAGAAGGGTTCCCACTTGACCATTATTTTATCGCTCATGGTTCTGATCTGGGTAAACCTCAACAAATGGTTCTCGCCTGAGAAAAGACATTGTTTAATTACAGTAAAAACAATAAATGGCAGTAAAGCATGCAACTGTGTAAGTGTTTAAATTATTGTTTGAGAAATATTAGTAAAGAAACATCTGCTTTTGTTGACCCAGTGTTCAGGAGCAGCCACCCCCTCCACTTACTCAATAATGCTAAGGTTTAGATAAGAGACTGTTATATACCTCCCTAAATGAAAAATGAAAAGCACATGTACAACATGTTCTTTGGTCTTTAGCTGACCGGTAGATAAGGATTGTACAGGAAGCGGTATCAGCCCCACACGGCCCTGCTTCTGAGCCAGAGTACCTCTTGCTCTTAGAAACAGGTGAAAACAGAGGCTGACATATACCCAGCTGGCTCAGATGTTTGTGGTTTAAATTGAAAAGGACAAAAATAGCACTAATCCTGTATCACTGTATTACTATGATTAACAGCTGAGTGCTTTGCTTTGCTGGCTCTTCCTACTAAACTGCATCAGTAAAAGGTCTGCAGGTAGACATCTGCAAACATATAAGGGCAGGAAATGACCATCACTGCAATAACTGTGCCTGAGTTTTCTTCTGTTTCCTGTTGCCATAGTAACTCTTGATACCAGTGACATGTCTCCAGAGCCGAGGTTCTTACATGAAGCCTGGTCTCCATTGGTCTTGGAGGCGATGTCATTCTTCACCTGCCGTGCTTTAGTTCCTGTAAACTCCTCCATCTTGCGGATCTCAGACATGCAGAGTTTTGAGTTATAGTGGAAAAACATGCGTCCCTGCAGGATGGTGAGGTTGTGCTTGGACCAGTCCCAGAGCTGCCGCAGGTTCTGGTTGTCCAGGGCATAAAATGAGTAATTCCTAGAAAAGAACACACGAGACTGCATGAACGTAGTTTCATGATACTGTACATATGGCATTTAGTAGAGGGTTTAATGAAAAAGCTTCTTGAGGAACATGAGTAGAAAAGTATTTCAGAAGGGTTAGTCTGCAGGTTGGATAATATGTCATATCCTTTGCAGTTTTGAATGCTACAACTGTTTCCACCTTCTCTGAATGAAGCCTCATATGTGATTTTGGAAAGTCTAACCAAAAACACCACAGAAAGACATTTTGGATAAGTCAGTCCTTCTGCTTTTAACTCATAATTACAGGAGGAGCCTCTGAACTGGTGAGATGTGATGGGTTCAGAGGAAAGAGTCTCACCCGATTTCCTGTTCCTCTCCACGAATAACATGAAGTTTGCGAAAAAATGAGAGGGACACAAGGGCGTAGGAGCGCCGCACTGTCAGGTAACCTGTGATCTCCTCCAGCTGGCCCAGGCTGGCCTCCAGTTCAGCTGCTATGTTGTCTGCAGAAAACCAAACGACACAAGCCTTTAACGTGCTGCATGCTTGGTACTAGAGCTCCCACAGAGACGGTCTCTGCTGCTTGCTTTCAACTTTGGGTTCATCTTTTTTCTTTCAAAGCACAGCCTTCTTTTATAACCAAAAGCTAAATTTAGCACCTTCTGACAAAATAATTGTTTTTGGTACACTGTCAACTTTATATTTTCATGGCCAACTTCAAAATCTTACAGCATAAAATGCACATTATGATATGACTGTGAAACTATGCATTGTTATTTATTAACTGTGGGTATGGGAGTTTGTGTGGCTAATTCCTAAGGTTCATCTTCAGTGTTAAAAAGAAAACAAAACTATTTATTCTTCTTAAAACATAAATTCTGTAAATGTGCATCTTTTCTTATCACAGTTATGGGTGTCTTGCATTTTTAGCCACATCTAGGACCATCTAAACACACCAAGTCCCTTAATATTTTATGTCAGGCTTTTATATCTATGCAGAATTTTTTAAATTCACATTTCTTACATTTTATTATACCCCAGGATAAGCCCAACGGGGTTTTACTATGTTGTTTTCTAATCTTTGCCTTTTGAAGTATTTTACTTCATTATATTTTTATGATGTTGTTTGGTTGAGTGAATTGCTTGATTGTGTGCAATATAAAGTTCTCTATTTTTAACTGTTGAGTACTGACATTTGATTCAGCTAAACAAATGACAGGCACTTACTTCCTCTACGCAGGTTGATGACCAGACTCCCATTGAGAACAGTGCAGCCCCTCAAAGCCTGCGCAGCAGTGACAGAGTCCACAGTTTGCAGACCCATACACACCTTAGGACAGAGCCCTGCACAGGGAGTGCAGTGGATCCTAAAAGACAAAGGGGGGCACTGATTAGAAATTTGTTTAAGAAATTGTGTCTATGTGATAAGAGTGTGTGTTGGTGTCACAAATTATATTTTGGAGATGTGTTATGAAATGCATAAGTGTCATTTTCATTCTTTCAGATTCTCTTCATCACAGAAACAACTACTACAAACTTAATCCTGCAGGAACTGATAGCGTGGCCACCTCAGGGCAGCAGAACCAAGCTATGAGCACTCACATTACACTTTATATTGATATGGAACCATTCTCTTCTCAGGCATTCATTCGCTAAGCTCGACAGCCAATCAGAATGCTCTCTGTCACTGACGAGGCCCGACCGCCGACGTCTGTGTGCTGTTTGATGTTGAGCAGGTAGCATACAGTGAGTTTTATAGCTGAAAGCAGCTGCCTGCTATGAACAAAAACAGTGAAGAAAGCAGTGCGACTGAACCAAAACACTACAGTTAGCAGGTGTAAAAGCAAAACAGTGAACTGAAGGTAAAAATCTCTGCAGAGCTACAGGGGAACTGTAGTCAGGTGATACATCTCAAAGGCAAAGCTGTTCACAAACAAATCATGAAAAATATTATATACAAATAATGACTATAGCTGCTTTAAATATGCTCTAAGCTGTTGATTTGAATCAACTAAAAATGAAGTGACCCCAATCCTTCACCTTAACAACCAAGTTAAACAACCTGGCTTTCATAATGGTTTCATAAGTCATAAGTCACTTCTCATAACCGGTACGGTCGCAGGTTTGTGTGCCAACCGTATTAACCTATTTCCTGAAAAACCATCTGTACAATCCCCACAAACACTGATAACGTGGCAAGTGCAAACTTTGATGAGGTAAACTAGAAAGTATGTGGCAATCTCTACAGCTTCTCAGATTCACAGACATCTTTTAACTGAGACACATGGGGTGGAGAGTGTTTTTTGAATGATGGACTGTTTGGCCTGCTCGGGGTAACTGTCCTCACCAATACACAAGTTCAAGTGTTTTTTGCTGCTGGCTGGTTTATGAGGTGAGAATGCCTTCGTTTAGCAGCAGGTGAGTAAGGAGGCAGGATAATTACAGATGAATGTGGCATTTCTTTTATGAAAGCCAAATAATGGAAGTAGGTGACAACCACCATCAAGACAGAATGACTCAAAATGACAGTCAATAGATAGGTGAAAATGATATCATTGTCCTGTGTTCCCTCTCCAGCACCACATCACCTCTCAGCTTGCATACTCTTAGGCATAAACCAAGGCATCATCAGAGGATTTTCACAGGATAGTTAAAGAGAACAGATGAGCAATAAAAGGAACAGAAAGTGAGTCCAAGTGAAAAGAGAGAAGATATGAGGACATCTGGGTTCACTACAGATCAACAGTGGCCTAAAGGTTTAGATACGTAGAACTGTTGATTGAAATCAGAGGTTTCAAACTGTGGAGCTCTTCAACAAATAAAACCACTTCCACCTAAGCTACACATGTGGGGAACTAATTTATCTGGCTTTTCAACCACAAGTAAATCAACTAGTGGGTTGTGCTGTAACAAAAGACAAGTCTTATGATTTCAACCTCTGCCCAAGCAAAATGATTAGCGCTCCCTGGAGGGTCTGTGCTTGCAGGCATGCCCACACAAATCAGCAGGCCTGGCTCAGTCAGTGAAGGTGTCATAGATGGCCACTGGCTGGTCAGCACAAGTATAACACCCTGCTTTAGGAAGGAAACCCTGTTTGAAGCAACTACAGAGATAAGCAGACAACGCAGAGAAGGAACTAAACATTTGCACATTTGCATATAGCTTGCACACCACAGTGCAGACACCAGCGGCTGATAAACAACCATCAGTTCCGTGCAGCAAGTGATCAACTAAAAAACTGAAGTGAACAGGTATCGAGTCAAAATGAAAAACACAACTGCACCAGCCTTCCTACTGCACTGCACCGCTGTGACATAGCAGTCTCACGCATGTACGATAAAGAGGTGTGTATGCGTGCACATATACAGAGCACCGTCTGAGCTCAGCAGGAGGACCTTCAGCTCCTGCACTGTCGTTCTGTGCAATAAAAAAAACACAATGGCAGGAATCTGTGCAGATAGAAGTGCTTTTAAATTTACACTGGATTTTTTACTTATTTTCTTTCCTCGCCGGGGTTGTCAGTAGGTGGGAGCATGTTGGGTGGTGGTTGGGGTCTGTTGTTATTGTTGAGACATTCTCTTGTGTTATTTGCTCTTATTGGGCTGTTAAATAATAATATCCTTTGTGTTTGATTATCGATTCAAAAATAACAATCCATAATAAATAAAAAAAAAAACACTTTTATATACAACATTTCTGATTATTCATCCTGCCTTTGTGTTTCTGTGACTACATGTACCTTAAGTACGTCAAGGCCGTGCATTAAATTCTGACGTGTATGTAAATGTGTTTGCGTGTATGCATGAAGAATATTCAGCCAGCTTCACTGATCATGCATCGCTCCATTAGATCATCAAGAGCCCGTCACAGCGACACGAGTGTCCACTTACAAGGAGGAGTTGACGGTTGTGTAGCCGGAGGGACACTCAGGTATGCAGGCACCATTGTGGATGACGTACTGATGGCAGTCGGCGCTCTTGCTGTGCTCCTTCTCCCGCTTACACTTGTTATGGAGATCCTGGCAGAAGGCGAAGGAGACACAGCGCCAACCATTGTAGGTGAAGTAGTTTTCGGGACAGTGCTCCACACAGTTGCCCTCATGCTGGAGACCACGACAGGCCACGCAGTCACTGGCCGAGTTGGGCTTCATGCAGCCGCCCAGGCACTGGTCATGACAGCACTGGTCATCCTTGGTACAGGCTCGGTGTTTGCAATGAAGGGGACACACTGCAGGTAGGAAGAGAAGAACACCGTCAGGTTAGAGAAGGTGACCATTACCATGAAACTAAGGTGAGAAAAGTGAAAGAAGAGGAACACAGAAAATAGAAGCATATCGCCATTCAATTACTTACAAATATTTCAATTCCCCAGATGACAGATTGATTTTAATCAGTCCCCCACAACAGAACTCCACAGAAATCTCAGATGGTCAGAGCTCTGTCAGCAGGGGTGAAACCCCTCCTTAATGCAGTAGCAAGCAGAGGACCATCTGCCATTGACCTTTAAGCATACTAAATACCAAAGGCAGAGATCCAACACTAGTTAACAGAGTCAGACACTTACCCTGAAGGCTTGGTGAAAGTGAGACAGAGGAGGGAAAATACTGGCATTCATGTTTTGCAGTGTTATACAGTGTTTTGCAAGGGAAACATGTGTAAGATGACTTGCTTGAACCAATATTTAGCCTCATTAACCAGAACCATGAACAGAGTGGAACATGTTTGTGCCATACTTCTAATTACAGGACACAAAGAACCTTTGTATTTGTTTTCCCTTTTAACCAGCTACTGCTGAGCATGACATAGTGAGCTTGTGTCCGAAATGCCTCGTCTTCATCAGTATTGTGTGGGCAGCCCTTAAAAGAACAAAACAACATAGGTCCCCTGTCATCCTATATATTAACAGAGGTAAGCTCTTTAAGCATGACAAAAGTGCATGTCTTTGGGAGGGCAGAGCAATATGAGAATGACAGTGCAAGGGGGACGCTAAAGGGGGTACAGTGCTAGAAAAATAAATTATATAACCACCTTTTACCCATGTCAGTCTGCCAGTTGAAATAATCTCCTCCTGGGTATAGATAGATGAGGTTTTCCACAACCAAAAGTAAGATATCCAATTTTCTCCAAAGTTTAATTTAAAACCGCCTCTTGAGCTTCTCCGCAAATGCACACATGCATACATACATGTACATGCACATGTACAGTATACATACAGCTTGGCTGTCTGCTCTCACTGACTCCTGATCCTCCAGTGGGGCTCTATGCCGGAGCACACGCCCAGCAGCAGATCCACCCTCAGCCTTAGCCAATGTGTTGGCTAGCAGTAGAAGCTAGCCATTCAAATGGCCTCTCCCATTTCCATGGAAGACAGGCGGACAGTTTAACCTTTTGTGTACCTCCCACTTCTCACCCACCCAGTTGGACAGCAGCAGCAGTAATGGGAGGTACGCAAAATACTAACACAGCAGCCGTATACAGTAGTATGAGGCTGGGCTGAACTACAATGAGCTGCACTACTCTTACAGACCCCATACCACCATGAATTGGCTGCTCCTATTAAGCGCTTTTTTTTGCCATGACCATAAATCTTTAGCCCTTGAACAACAACTTTTTATTCAGGAGTCCTTGCTGAGAAAAACACAGTGTTTCCTGTAGTACTGGGTTCAAACTCACGCTGAGACAATCATGTTACATTAGTACTGTGCTGAACAGCACAGTGCTCCAGGAGGCGGCTCATGCCTCATCATGCCTACAACTCATTAGGAGTCCTTACTTCAACGGCCCTGGAACAACTGAAAAATTTCTGTTTGCGCAACAGATGCCTACTCTTACAAAATGACTATGATTAATTTGACATAATGTACATGTGATAACAAATATGTTGTTGTCATTTGTTGGTTGCCCAGTACGTTTTAAAACACTGCCTGGTAAACATGTGGTGTTCTGTCTGAAGGGACATTATTTTTGTGTTGTTAAAGGTTATTGCTCAAATAATGATGATTACATGCACATATATCACAAATATCTGTGTAGGTTAATGTATTATGTTACATTTGACCTAAAACTGTTTATTGATTAGCCAATCAACATGAAATTTATTAGAAACAATTTTTTGTTTAGTGAAGAAAAATGCCAATTATTAGCTGCTTCCAGATGCTCCATTGTGGGGGCTTTCTGCTTTTATACGTTTTGTATCATGAAAAAAGTAATTTCTTTGGGCTTTGGACTGTTTACAACTGGCTACATCATTTTAAAAAAAATATACTGAGGTTGAATGTATGTCCCTGCAGTCTCTGAACTCCTCTGTCCTATTGTCCCTGGTTCCTCTGGCACACTGACTGATCTCGTCCTGAGGTTTGTGCAAAGAGCAGCGGGGCTGCTGAGGAATAATGATGCAGAAACACTTGGCACTTTATCTCACTATCAAAGGTTTTACTTGAATGACAACGTACTCTGTCAGTGTGAGGTCATCTTGGAAATGGGAGGTGAAGAGGCAGATCTGCAACCAACGTCAAACTTAAAGAACATTCATAGAGGCAGAAAGAATCTACACTTTGTGCCACAAGTGACAAGCAACTCAGAGATTTCTGCCCAAAATGAAGAACCATGGTACTTTGCATTAACCACAATCCTTCCTAAAATCACTTTTTCCAGGTTCCTTGCATGGCAGGGATGGAACAGCAGCATATTTAGACATTTTGCGTCAATATCACATTAGACACCAGAAAATACCAAACAGGAATGTGGCGGTGTGATGGTGGGTAATTAAAATTCCACAACCATAAAAGGGTAGAATTTAGTTTCTTATAAAAGAGGGTTTTTGCTGAGACACAAGTCTTAAGGAATGGTGACCTTTCAATGCTGCTACAATCGGTGTTGACAATTTCAAACAAACTGATAAAACAACAGCAGCAATGCTGGTCCTAAATAAACTGCCTAAATTGAAATTGAAGACACGGACTGCTTGGTACCACACAACAGCTAACTAGATAAGAAAAAAACAGAAAAGGCAAGGAAAAAGGAAGAAACAAAAAAACTAATTTGCTTGTGTATTAAATGCATATAAGGCTGCAACTAAGGACTATTGTCATTCTGGTTTAATCTAACATTTCAGTCTATAAAATGTCATAAAAGAGCATAAAACACTAACGGCAAGTTCCCAGAGCCCAAGGAGACATCTTCAAATTGCTACGGTCTAAATGCAGTGATATTCAATATGCCATTAAACAGAGAAAATCAACTAATTCTCCATCCAAAAACCAAACTTTGTGTTGAGAAAGTAACTGCTTCATCAAGTAATAGTTTCAGCACAAAATGCATGTTTAACATCCAGATGGTTATTGCTCAATAAAGCAATGTGCCTGCAGCTGGTTTACCCACTTAGTGAACGTCTTTATTTTGAAACCAAGGAACCTATGCAAATTCAAGCCTGTAAAACAAATATTTCTGCATGATGTTTATGCTTTCTAATGGCTGTTCCCAAGCAGCTACTTCATTTGTTTCTTTTTAAAACAAGACTTGCTGAACCCGTGCTTCATTCACTGGAACATTGTTTTTTTAATGCTTTCAGTGAACCATCAGAAGTGATGCCTTTATTTTGCTTGCTAGAATCACACTGCAATTTTGTGGTTTATAGTTTTGTCAGTATAAATAAACAAATGTAATCTGTTTTTCCACCAGAAAAATTAGGTAACACAATGTTATTACATGTTCTGTACATTTACAGACAACCTGAGTACTATTACACTGATCTCAAAGTAGATGGTGCTTCTGAATGCACAGTATAGTACCACAAGTCTCCTTCAACTAACCTTTACTTTACTGACCAGGCATTTCCTTCACCAGCTTCACTGGTGTCCATGTTTGTTTCTGGTCATTTAATACAAGTGAGGCCTTCAGTTTGGTTTACTGACTACTGTCAGCTTCATAAACTACAGCATAGAGATCTGAAACACTGCCACAGACAGCACAATGTTATACTTGAACAGTACCAACAGACTGCAAGAACACATAATGTCCTAGAGCAACAAAGCCAGACACCTGAGCCATTTTCCATTTGTCCCTTGCCCTGATGTGAATATACCATGTTTCAGAGCTATAGTTTTCTATCAAAATCCAAATCCCCAACAGTGCCAGTTCCATTAGCATATTCTCTAGTTTCTTCTCTTCTAGTGAGGAACAGATCTTATTATAGTCACCACTTCTATGTCCAAACACGTCTCTGCTTACTGCAATTAGCTCTGTACCTTTAATAAGAATGAGATGCAGACAAATGAAGATGGATGGATGCTGGGACATAAACACAACAATGAATCCATTTATCGAGTGCATGACATCTGAGCTGAGATGTTAGTAGAGCTGTGCCATACTGCCCATGATATACAAGTGTAATTCCTCCCCATGTTAAGAATCATCTCACAAAGATGGATTCGCATGTGTACAGTAACATGGCATCTCACGTGTGCCTATTAACAGATTAACAATATAATAATATTCATTCACGCATCAAAACACAGACGAGCAACATCAAAGACAGAGAAGCAAACTGTGGTCAATTAAATTCATATTCAAGTAACACTCAGTGCATCAGAGGAAAGACTGTAATAGTCTAAACACGATTAAAATAATAATGATAAAAAAAGCCGGGGCTAATGACCTGGGTTTTACTTGTCTCATTTTTCCCCCGGTAACTGCTTGTCAGCTGGTCTGACTCAGCAGCAGCAGGGCTCAGTTGAGACAGCTCGGGCAGCAACAGGTACCATAAACAATTTCATTAAGTGGCCCCGGCCTCTTTTAATAGAACAAAAACACGCAAACAACATGGAAAAGCACTTTTTGTTTTTAATGTTACCCTGCTGCCGATCTCATCTGAAGGCAGGATATCCAGTTCATCCGTGACTTGAGAAAAAATGAAAAACACAGTGCACTCATTGATGGGCAGTTATATTGCAGGCAAGTGATGAACACCACAGCCTTGACTCTTCATTTCCTTCCAGGGCTCAGGGGCTATAATAATGTCTATCTCTGTGGTTGACTTTGATTTAACACTGATTTAACACAACACGTGTTAGATTCATGATTGATCAAAACCAATGCAATACAATCAAGGATACTGTCATTTTTTATTCCACACATTCTTGCAAAACCCAGTTCCTTCATTACGCACAACACAACTTGATCACTGACATTCTTGGTTGGAGATTTTGGTGTGTTATGCTAGTGGCCTTG